TCTTCAAAAAAAATGAAACTATAAATTCCATTTGACTCAGCTATTCCCCTTCTAGATACCAAAGAGGTTAAGGCATCATGTTATAGTGGTACATGTGTAGCTATATTTATAGCAGCACAATTCATAATAGCTGAATCTTGGAAGATGCTAATCATCAACAGATGAATGAATTTTTTAAAATGTGGTATTTATACAAAATGGAATACTACTCTGTCTTAAAGAATGATAAACTTGAGTCATCTGTAGGAAAATGGATGCACCTTGAGACTAATGTTAAGTGGAATAAATAAGACACACACACTTAAATATTACATGATTTCTCTTGCATTAGAAACTCAAAGTGTAAAATAAAGAGCAAAATAAAAGATAGATAAGAGGAAGTAGGGAGACAGATCTTTCTCAAAGCAGAAGGCGGATCCAGAGATGAGGTTGGAGGAGGGAAAGGGGATGAAAAAAGGATTAAGATGTGTTATGTGGATGTACCAACTCTCCACAAGGAACATTATGTACTAACATGTACTAATTTTTAAAATGTTTTTTAATAAGAAAAAACTGTCAACCAAGAATCCTCTACCAATCAAAAGTTTCAAAAATGAGAAAGAAATTGAGACATTCCCAAATACACAAAAGTTGAGGGAGTTTATTACCACTAAAACTGGTCAGCAATAAATGCTCAAGGAAGTCCTGAAGGCTCAAAAGAAAATACACTAGACAATAACTAGAAGTCATATGAAGAAATAAATATCTCAATAAAGGTAAATACAAGGGCACTTATAAAAATTAGCATTACAACTCTGTAATGCTACTGCTTGCTTTATACATTAAGGGAGTAAAATGTTTTTAAAATAATTACTAGTTTAAAAACTTGCTATAAAGTAATTTTGGTTTGTAACCCACATTTTGTTTCTACACAACTTAAAAGACCGGTGTATTTGAATCATTAGTTTGTTTCTCACCACACAGTATATAAAGATGTAATTTTGTGACATCAGTCATGAGGGTTGGATATGAAGCAGTGAAGGAACAGGTTTTGTATGTTGTTGAAGTTAAGTTGTATAAATGCAAATTAGTGTTATAATTACTATGTTTAATGGAATCTCAATGGTAGCCATGCAAAAAATAGTTATAGAGAAACTGAAAGTGTAAATAAGGACTAAAAGGTATAATAGATAATGTGAAATAGAAAGAAAAGGAGCAAGAGGAAGGGGAAGTGGGAGGGGGAGGGGAAAGGAAAGAAGGGAATGGAATTAATATGAGAAAATGGAAAAAAGGTCTTTGCAAATAGGGAGAGATGGAGGGGTTGAAGGGAGGGCAGGGGAAGGGGAAAAAATAGTTATAGAATATACATTAAAAGCAATGAGAGGGCCAGGGGTTTACCTCAGTTGTTCTGACACTTGCCTCACAAGTGCAAGGTCCCAAGTTCAATCCCCAGTACCAAAAAAAAAGCAATGAGAAAGGAATTTAAATATTTCAAAAACACTTAAAGTCAAAAGGTCAAACAAACACAAAAAGAAGATAGTAATGCAGGAAATAAGGGACAAAAAGCTACAAGACATATAGAAAACACTAGCAAAATGACAGAAGTAAGGTTCACCTTATCAATAATTACCTTAAATATAAGTGGATTAAACTTTCTAGTCAAAAGGCAAATTGGCAAAAAGAATTTTATTAAAAAATGCAATCAAATTGTATGATATCTACAAGAGACTCATTTTAGATCCAAAGGCACAAACAGATTGAAAGGATGGAAAAAAAATAATTCCATGCAAATGGTAACCAAAAGAGAGCAGGGGTTGCTACACTAGTATCAGAAAAAAATTGACTTTAAATTTAAAATATTATAGTAGATAAAGGACATTACATAATAATAAAAGTTTCAATACAGTAAGAAAATATAAAAATTATAAGCATTTACACAGTGACAGAGCATCAAAATATAGGAGACAAAAAAGACAAAAGTGAAAGAAATAGTACTACAGTAATAGTACTTGAAAATTCAATACCTTATTCTTTTTTTTTCAATACCCTATTCTTAATAGTGGATAGAAAAACCAGAGAGAAAATAAATAAGGAAACAGAGAACATAAACAACATAATAAACCAGAGTGATGGCGAACCTTTTAGAGATGAATCCCCAAACTGCAACCCAACACCCACTTTATCACAAAGTGTCAACACTGAAATTAAACCTGAATACTGAGATTTTTGTTTAGAAGAAACAACTCATACATGCATTAACATCTTTTGTCTTAAAAGAAAAACAAATAACTTGTGTGCCATAGGTTCACCACCAGTGAAACAAACAGAACATTCAACAATAGGAGCTCATTGCCTGTGGAACATTTTTCAGGATAGACCACAGGTGAAGCCACAAATTAGGTCAAAATGTAATATATACATACAACAGAATATTGTTCATCATTTTAAAAGAATGACATTTCTGACGTATGGTACAACATGGATAAACCTTGAGGGTATTATGCTTGGTGAAATATGCCAGTCACAAAAAAGTAAAATAGTATATTATTTGACTTATATGAGGTTCACATAAAGTAAAATGGTGGTTTCCAGGGGAGAAGGGAGTAGAGGATTAAAATTTCATGGATACAGAGTTTCAGATTTATAACATGAAAAGAGTTATTGAAAATGGATGTGGAAGACGGTTACATAGCATTATAACTGTATTTAACATCATTGAACTATTAAAATGAGTGAGATGGTAAATTTTACAGGCCTTTTACCACAGTAAGAAAAGCTGGCTGGGGGGATACTGGTCATTAAGAATTAACTTCATCAACTTCTTTTATGTATCTATTTCAAAACTTCTTTAGAGCATTACCCAAGAATCCTCAACTTTCTGAGAGAACATTTTGTCAGTTAGCTATCCCATAGGGAAAAGAGACTGGTTTCAAGTTAATAAATCTACACATAAGCTATACATTTTTATCACTTAATAAAAATTGTTGATCTCTCTGAAATATATTTTTATTTTTACGTAATTACTAGGAAGTAAACATAATAAATATCATTTTTCTAAACATAAATGGCTTGCTACAAAAGTCTTACCTTAAGTGAAAATTGCCATCACTAAATGCAAGTATGAGAGCAAGCCTATTAAGCTTTTTCAAATTCCTAAATAATAAACAGTTATTTGAGATGACATTGAAATGAAGGATAAGAAAAAAAAGGAACAAATTTTGAGTTGGAATTGGAGAAATAGAAGTATTTTGTGCTCTCACTTTTTTTGTAAATGATCTGAGAATGTAGGAATAGAAGTTAAATTATAGCAACTCCCTGCACTAATAGTATCCTTTTCAGATTCTATATCCATAGAATCCATGTTTGTCAGCTGTCTTATATCTTCATAGTATATGGCATGGTATTTCTCAGAATGAATGAAAAAGCATTGCACAGTCACTAGAAACAAAAGAATACTTATTTATTTTCAAGGGCTGCCACTGACTAGTTTTCTGACCTGAGATGTACCTTTAAACATTCTGAACCCATTTTCATATGTATAAAATAGGAATAATAATCTCTAACCATAGAAACTACTGCAGGCATACCAGGATAATAGTAGTCAACTAAAATATTAAGTTTATTAAACTTAATTTTAAAATAGGCATATTATAAATCAGTAAGAAAAGGTGGAAATCCCATTGGAATATGATACACACTTCATAAAGTAATTATAAAAACTACAGGAATTGTAATCAAATTAGAATAAATTAAACTAGTGACATTTTTCTATGTAATTGATAGCAATTCAATATTTGCTATTTTTAATATTAGAAGACCACACTTAACTGCCATCATAGGGCAACTTAAAATTAATTTAAGTAAACAGATTGGTAAGTCTTAGAGACAAATACTAGCAAATTTGGAGCTAATTTGGTGGCAGAGGGACTTTGAGAATTTGTTCTATTTTATGCAATTCCCTAATAATTTGCAGGCAGCTGATATTACAGATGATCACACAAGAAAAAACAAATATCATCAAGATGCTTCTGCCCGAAAAGATGAAGGCAAAGGAGATATGGTTTATGTCTAACATTAAAGATTATACACCAATAGTAATATGTTCATTCCAGAATTAGGAGTGAAGTGGTGGGGTAACAAACTAAGGAGCACGGTTTTACATGGTTAATAAACACTGAAGTCATTACCCCATAGTAGACATTAAGATATTACACAATACAAATGCAACATTTGTATCAAATAAAAACATAAAGTGATAAATAGCAAACAAACAGAAATTAAGGTGGTGATAGAAGGCTTTTGTAAGATCAGACACATGCATGGTGTTTTAGTTACTTTCTCATTGCTGGAACAAACCACCCAACACCCGTAATTTAAAGGAAGAAAAGTTTATTTTAGCTCACAGTTTGTAGAAGTTTCAGTCCAGAGTAGTCACCTCTAAGGCAGGGCAGCATGGCAGAGGGACATAGCAAAGTAGAAACAGTCCATATCAGGGTAGTCAGTAGGCAGGAAGCAGCAGCAGCAAACTTCCCTTCCTCTTTCATTCAATTCAAACTGTAGGCTCCTCCCTGGAAAAGCTCCATCTCCCTGCTCCTTTACTAGTAGTTTCCCAGTGACAATACTTGGAGAATGATACTTTGGATTCTCATACTGGTAACAATCCTAAGGATTAGAAATCTTCCATCCTACAATTAAACAGAAGCCATAAACCAGTATGAAAGTAAAGTCATGGGGAAAGAACTTAAAAATTTAAGACCCCAATTGGTTATCGTAGATGTGAAAAACTTTGATTCATTTGTTCATATGCTGTTCTCCATTACCATTCACCATGTAGTCAGTGGAAAAGGCAGTACCCACTTTACTGTCAATCCAGAGCAAGTATTTCTAAGATAATCATGCAGGACTCTTGATAAGAAATTTGGCCTCTGTGTATGTCATAGTTACTTAGAATACCTGAACTGAGCTCGCTTTCTCTCTCTCTCTCTCTCTCTCTCTCTCTCATTCTACTTCTGTATTCTCAGGACTACTGGCTCTCGCTACTTTACAAGCGCTTGATTGGCCCCAAAGTCTTGGCAGTGCATGTGGCTGGGCTCCAGAGGAAGCCACGGCCCGGCCGAGTGATCCGGGACAAACTAAGGATTTATGCTCACTGCACAAACCACCACAAGTAAGTCCTCATAGAAATGGAAAAGAAAGGTCATCCTGATGGGTTTCAACCCCTCCAAGAATTCTATGCTATTTGGAACCTCTTCAAGAATTATCTGTGTTCAGTGATAAAAAAAAAACTGCCTCTGGGATCACCATACTTTGCAGGCTTCAAATGATTCTGAGAAAAAGACTTTTTTTCCAGTTATACTTCCCTTTTCATACTTACAGGATCTATTTGTAAAAAAAAAAAAATCGTAAAATACATGCTATTTGTTCATTAACAGATTTTTATTGGGTATTTTCTCTCTGACAGTTGACATAATGCCCTTGAAGTTTTTGTGTGCCTAAGCCTAAGCCAAGGCAAAAGGCCATGCCTTGTTCTATGATCCACCTACAGAGTTTAAGGAAAAGGTCTTCATTTATAAAATGTATGCTGAGAGCTGCACTTCAAGGAGCCTAGCCCTGGACCAGTGTGTCTCAAACTGGGTACCCCAGAACTAAAAGAGTGCATAAGGGTAGTCAGGCCAGCTTTAGAACCATTTTCAGTATTGCAACAACAACAACAAAAAAAATCTTCTCAGCTATTTTAAGTGTTAAGAAGCTAAATCAAATGTAGGCTTCCTTTTAGGGGATGGGGGGTGGGTAATGAGGAAGAAGATCCCCAGTGGTATAACATTCCAGTGTGGTACTGTGTGGTTATCCTTCTCTCTTTGATCTGAACATTAGTTGTCATTAGAGTAGTCCTTAAAACAAACAGCACATTAATGATCAGTAAATAAAGAGATAAAAAGTTTTAAAACATGGAGACCATAAGGAAATAAATTTAAATTGGTTTTAAAGCAAAACCCATCTGGTCAAATATGTCTTTCTGACATCACTTCCTGTTTCAGGAGAGTAGGCTGCCCTAGAAAAAACAACTCTTTCTCTTACTGCAGAGAAAACCTGGGGGCAGGATTGCCGGGGACACTTCCTGCCAGGCCTCTATGCCTGGGCCTGTCAAGCCTATCAGGGGCTGATCAAGGGGAGGGGAAGCACAAAGAGCTGTGTGGTCAGATTACACCAGATGCTTCTTCTCAGTCCTTGATGAGACAGGAGCCAAGCCAGCTAATTCCTCATGATAAGCTTTTTCAAAGAATAACTCTGAGCAGAGGGGGGCCAACGGCCAGTTATCTTGCCTGTAGATACAAGTGCCTATTGTAGGTGAGGGGAGGCTGGTTTGGGCAGGGGCCAGAGGCTTTCAACATCCCTTTTGCTCAGCAGGAAGCTCAATCCCATACCTGACAGAGTGACTGCTTTATGGCCTTGGCCTGGAGTTATCTGATCATCACACAAGGCAACATTGTATTCCTTGTCTCTGCCTAGCCCTAAGGCAACCACCCAAAAGGTAGACCCTCAGCTTTGAGAAAGAAAAATTGCTCTTGGCACCTTCTGTCCCTGTTGGAAAATACGCCAGTCTTTGGCATTTATACTACTGGTCTAGGGACCCAAGGAAAAGCGTCTGGCGCCAAATGGCAGGATTTGTGTGTCTTCCTTACATATTCTTATTCTGAAGTGTTCTTTGATATTCTCATGGGAAGTTGTCATTAATATTCTGAATATACCATGAACTCAAGGCCAGCATCTCATTCATTTTTATATTCTTAGTGTCTAATATTGTAACTAGCATGAAGAAGATCTCATAAAAATGTTTGAGAGATGAATGAATGGATGAATGCAGAAATAGGGCATCAGTATGTTACTGCTGATTTATAGTTTCGCTCTTCTTCCCTGTGATATCACCAAGAGGAGGTGGTGTGGTAGGGTGGTTAGTTATATCATGAATCCCCAACAAATTAGTAAAATCATCTGGATTTTAAACTTCTCTGGGAATGAGATGCCACCAGACTCCTTTTGGTACAATCTCTTCCTTTCTGCATTGAAAAGAAAAGAGAAAAGACTTTCATGATCCATGTCACACATGACCTCTAAAGATAAAAATTGAGACAAAGGTCTTAAACCCATAAAGCATACCTACAATGAAAACAATTGAGCCACAGCTAACCTTGCAGATCTCCATGTAGCAGGTGTCAGGTGCCCAGATAGGTAGGCACAAGAAAAGAGATGTGTCTGCCCTTCTCTCTGGTGTGTGCCCACATCCTTTACAATAGTCATAAGAAAGGACCATTGATTCATTTAGTTCATTTGTGGCCAAAGAGGCTAAAGTCATAGAACTGACCAAGAGTAGACATGTTGGCTTCATGCTAATAAACCTTGACCCTGCTCTGAAAATAAATGTCCTGGGTCAAAACAGGGATTGGATAAGAAAAGATCAACTTACTAATAGAACAATGCAAAGGAAGTGTCTCTTAAAAGAACTGCACTCCAATGTGTATTGAAGATTTGCTATGTAACAAGCATCTTGCCGGATGTTTGCATTTATATTACCTTCTTGAATTCTAAAGGTTCTACCCTTAAAGCCATTTGGCCCAGCATCCTATTGCGCACATGACTCCCCTTTCCATCTTCCTAACAGTTATACAGCACCTACTTAGAGACTTTACTGCCTCTCCTCAAAGCCTCTTGCACCATGGGTTATTCCTGACCTATTGGAGCCTTGTCTCTTATAGTCGATTTAGAAGACAAAGTTAGGTTCTCATATCAACACCACCAGGTGCTTTTTTGCTTTCTACTCTAGAACAAATTAAGACACTAGACTTAATTAACAGTTCTCACCTCAAATCTTGTTCAGAGAACAATCGAGTTTTGACAGGGAAACCTTTTTTTATAAGCCATTCTATTGAGACAATGTATGTTTGAGGGGTGGAGCTGAGGTCCTTAGCCAAGTTCAGAACCAATTGGAACCTGGTGGATGCTGAAGCAAAATTGAGCCTTTTGGGGTTCAAGTTAGTTTACTATTGGCAAAACACAACTTCCTGTTTTTCAGAAGAAGTTTTTTAAAAGGCTCTTTAAAAAGGTTCTTGAGGCTTCTTGGACATCAAGTGACTCTTACAAAAAAATATTTTGATGAGTTAAGTGTAAATGAATCAGAAACATGTGGATTAAATTTCCCTTAAAATGCACAGGGGCTTTGAAATTAAGGGGGGAAAATGTTTGGCAAAGCATGGCCTGACTTTTACCGAACCCATAACCTTTGAATTAGATTTGGATACAATGGACCAACGCAGTACTCAAGCACATTGACTTTCACTGGGAATGACCATGGACTGCAGAGCATCATACTCCTTTCTTTTCCCAGACCCCCAGCTTCACTGGAGGTGTTTCTACAACATGACTGTTTTCTATCTGGAACTCAAGATGCACCACCCACATGACATCTCCCACTTCTTATATTAAAGATATTCCAATTCAAGTTTCCCTTCCCTGACTCACTTCCTTGTCCTCCCATGGTAACACAGAGAAGATATCAAGCAGAAAAAGAACAGCCAGAAGAGATGAACTCCAGATACACAGATTGGCTGCTGGTGAAAAAGTCTCACTATGAGTGAGACATACAGTAAGATGAATGTTCTATCCAGACAGCTTCTCTCCAGAAAAGGCCATTCACAAAGATGACCAAAAGCCACCTGGACTTGACAACATCAGGAGTCAAAAATAGCCCACTGACCAAGCCTGCAGACATCATTTCCTTAAGGAACAGGCACCCCTCAGGATTAGTTTTCAGTGGGCAGAAAATCCACATTTTTCAAGAATCTGGATTCTCAACACAGCACTCTTAGACTGATGCTGTAATCTGCAGCCAAGACTGTATCTTCCAGCCAAAAGGCTTCTGCTTCATGTCCTTGCCCATTAGTCAAGCTGGGTGAGGGATAGCTAAGGCAGTCTTGTCTTCAGTGCCAGTTTCTACCTGAGGAGGGCCCAAAAGTTCTGTGAGAGCCAGTCCACGGTGGTCCCTGGGCTGTACTGGTTTGACTCCCCCAAGGGAACTATATAAATGGAGATCAGACCATTGCCAAGCAGCTTGAAAAGACAGCTTTCCCTGTAGCAGTTCTGTGATTTCAGGTCTCCCTCCCACTCACCACTTCCCCACATCCTATCCTTCTCTCTGCAGGCTCTAAGGGCTCATTCTGCCCAAAATCTGTTGAAAAGAAACTCATAAATGCAAGCATGTGGCTCTCTCCTTTTTTCTGGCCTTTAAGAGTATTGATAGTTGCTTGCAAAAGAGTTTACTGCAGTCAGTCTGGCAAAACTAGTACCCATCCATGCCTATTTTGCTCACACCCTGAGGCCCAGAGTACAATAGTTAATGATGTCTTCCTCAAGTTTGCTCATGTTCTTTGCTAAACTGAAAGCCCACTAATGGAATCTAGTTGTTCTAGTGATGATCTATGACAGCATAGACTGTCAACATCTTTCTCCAGAGCTGTGGTGACACAAATCTTCCCAAATCAACTGGCATTCTCTTCTGACTCATTTGGCTATGAAAGCTAGTTAACGTGCTGCCAGGGATTAGGAGGGACTGGAGGAGAGACTGCATAGGAGAGGTATTTAAGAATTTATAAATGTAGGCATCTGAAAAGCTTTGAACACTATAATGTGCAAGGTGCAAGAAAAATACTCTGATGCACAGCTGCAGATATTCCGGGAGTTCTTCTCATAACCTTATGGATTGTTCTAAGTAAGAGGTTCCCAAACCCAGCTTATTGACCAATTGTCTCAGAAAGATTTTAAAATACATATTCCCAGGACTGGAGCCTAAATGGATTGAATCAGAATTTCCAAGGAAGAGCTCTGGAAATCATACTTCTTTGAAAAAATCCCAAGTTATCATACAAACCTGATCTTGGCTGCTCAACTCTTAATTAGCACCTTTAAAAGCAGAGATCAGTGATACATGGATCAAGGAGTGCTGTATCTGCAAGGAACGATGTTTCCCTTTGGGCAACGTTGACTTAGAATTTCTCCAAAATCCTCCTTTGAAGGCAAGGCTGGGTCATTTTTTCTGTTTCCTCTCATTAACCTATCCAGATGGGGCCTTGAGGGACCCCTTAAAAACAAGGTCTTTTTTCCTACAGAGAGAAGGAAATCATTATAGTTTTGTTGATACATGCTGAAAGACTCTTACATGTAGGCATATAGTTCTCCCAGGCTTCTGGACATCCGGTACTGGTTTAAAAGAATCCCAAATGGTGAATAGTTTTATAATCTTGGAGTAGGTGAAACACCAAAAGCTGGAATCAAAAAGATAAATTTGACTACATAAAGTTGCTTTTAACATATATCAGAATACAATGTAAACTGAAATGGACAAAGACAACCGTGGGAAATTTTTGCAGCATGCATGTATACAAAAGATTTCTGTCTTTAACAAATACGTAGTTTTTATAAATCGATAGAAAATGGGCAATGGACAGGAACAGGCAGTTTATAAAAGAAATAAAATGGCAGATGGGCAAATGAAAAAATGTGGCACCTCAGTATGAATTGGAAAAAAATATAAATTACCACAAATTGATATCCCATTTTTACTTCTCACGTCAACAAGGATATTTCAAAAGATTAATTTCTGTGTTCTTAAGGATATGAGGAAATGGGTACTCTCATACAGAGCCCGGGGAAGGAAACTTCTAAAAGTTTTTGGAGAGTTATTATTATCAAAATGTGTGTATCCATTAAGATAAGTGAAGTTATGCTATGATAACAAAGAACCCTCAAATCTCCATGGCTTTCAATAAGAAAATTTATTTCTCATTTGTACTACTCATTCATCATGGCTCAACTATAGCCCTGCTCTGCCTCATTTTCATTCTACCACCTAGATCAATATCGCAGTTTTTCTCAAAAGAATTGTCAGCCTTCTGGCAGAGGGAAAAGAAACATGGCAAAACATAGGGAGGCTCCTAAAGTTCCTGCCCAAAGGTTTTAACATGTCCTTTCACATTTCACTAGACAAAGCAAATCATGTGGTTACTTTCTGTTTCAGCAGAGCAGGAACATAAAATTTTCCCACAGGCAGGAGCATCACAGGGAATGAACTGAAAAACTGGGTGAGGACTCATACAATGCACATTCCCCTTGACCTAATGATTACAACTTCTAGGATTTTATCCATCAGAAATAATCATAATGTGCAAAAAGTTTATGCACAGTGGAGCCTTTCATGGCACAATTTATAATAGATAAATTGAAAACAACACAAAGTGAAAATAGGGGACTAACTAAATAAATTATGTTACATTGCTATTATTGAAAATGATATTCTTCTACAAGTAGAATACATAATAACATGAGAACATGTTTAAGATGCTCATCAACTGAAAAATAGCTGTTTAAACACTGTGACCCAAGTTATATAAAGACAGTAATATTTTTGTATGTCAAAGTACTTAATAAATATTTGTCAAATTAGTAATTAAAAAAATACTTAGAGAGTGGTTACCAAAATGTTATATCTCAAAATTCTGTAATTATGGGGAATTTTATTTTCTTCTTTGTTTCTCTATTTTTTACTGTTTGTTTGATTCATTTCAAGCATCATCTTTTATCTTCATATTCAGAAAAATGTATATATATATATATGTTTTCTAAAATCACTGCAATAAATTTAAACAAGAATAGAAGGAATGTGGTAGGAAGTAGGTATCTGCTTTTCAGGAAACCACAATAACAGAACTTTCCTCTTGTGAAGGTCTGTTGTGTCCAGGATCCATAAACCAAGAGCCCTCTTTTGGGTGATCTTGTTTTGTGCAGGCTATAAAGTATTTAGGTGCATCTAACTGACCACTTTGTTTCCATCCCCCCACCACCATAGCCACAACTATGTTCGAGGCTCCATTACACTTTTCATCATCAACTTGCATCGATCAAGAAAGAAAATCAAACTGGCTGGGACTCTCAGGAACAAGCTTGTGCACCAGTATCTGCTGCAGCCTTATGGGCAGGAGGGCCTGAAGTCCAAGTAAGTACAGACCTAGAAATAATTCAGGATCGAGTAAGGCAGGAGTTGAACAGGAAGGGAGCTGAAGTCACCCTTTTACTGAAGGGGCCAAGGTTCCTTCTAATTCACTCAGGGGCTCAGTGTGATGAAGCAAGACAAAGAATGGTCTGGAGTCAGGGAACTACTGATTTCCTTTGGGGTGTTGGTCAAGCCCCTCTCTATTTCTACACTTAGATTCCTCAACTTTAAAGTCAAATTATGGCTACACATTTATCAATGAAGTTATTCTTGGTATTTGAGCAAAACACTTTTTCATTATGCAAGATTATCACATTGCAAGCCATTTGTCATCCTTGGCACCTGCCCACTCAATACTAATAGAGTCCCTGGTCATGTGACAACCCCAAATCCTGGTTGAGAACCATGTTCCTTCCAGTTATAATGTTCTTTAACATGTGAGATGGCTCTGCACATATGCACATCTCATGGGGTTTAAAGGAAGATGGAAAAAGGATCAAAAGTTCAGAGATCAAAAGTTATTATGCCTCTAACTTTATTCCTTAGGTACATCACTGCTTAATCTCAGTTTCTTCATCTGAACAATAGGAGGGAGATTATATCCTGGGAGTTCTGTGGCCCCTGCCAACTATAAATAAACAATTCTGTGACACTTCCCTGCCTCCTTCAGTCTCTACAGAGACTATTGGTGACACTGATCCACCAACAGAATGCAGCCCTGAGATGCACTGAGAAGGTGTCTCATCAAGGACAAAGCCACCCCAGCTCCCCAAGCAAGGCCTCTCAGGAAGGATATGGGATGCTCTGCAGACTGGGGGCGTTCCTATTCCATTTTTAATGTTTACCAACTATAACAAAGCTGTAAACTTGGAGCAGGTGGCTTGCACTCCCACAGCTGCCCACAAATATTTGTGCTATAATTGTTCACTGTTTCACAGCAACTTTGGTGGCTTGCATTTGGCTTCCAACTGTATGTGCAATGGGAACAAAACACAATCTGGGAAGTCACTTACTGAAACTTTTTAGCCCACCCTAGATCTGCATTTTCACATACTGGCTCTTTTTTCTGGCTACATGTACATGGCTTCTCCTTTCCTTTCTTAAGAAGAAAGAAAAATATTTTATTTCTCTCTTTTTCCACTTCTCTATAGTTTATGATGGGCATGCTGAATTCCTGGCCTTCAAGTCCCAGCTTCACCACTAATTAATTGTATGGCTGGAAAAAAATCATTTATCCTAATTTCTCAGCCTCAGTTTTCACATCTTAAGAATTCAAAGTTTGCTATATATTTGGTAAAGTCCATTATAGCCCTAAAATTCTCATTCTGAGTCTGATTTTCTAAGGACCATAAATGCATTTAAGCCTCCTGCTAACATTCACTAATGACCTGCAAAGCCATTTCTGGCAGAAAAGCTGACTCCTGAGCAGTGATTGAAACAAACAAGGTCTCCTGAAACCAAAGAGCTCGGGAGCTGAGCCTGCCCAGTATCAGGAAGAGAAGGCTTTCCAGCAGGGACTGACCAAAATGCTGTAATCTAACAGGTCAAAATGTCAATTCCTGCTCTGCAAAAGGCAAGTTATGTAATCTCTGTGAGCCTCATTTTCCTCTCACATGGAGCAAATTAAACAAAGTAATCTATGTAAATTTCCTGACATGTAGCAAATGCTCAATAAATGTCCATTGCCCACCCTCAACTCGGAACTCTAGCCCATTAGGAAAGGAGAGAAACAGTTGCTGTCCCTAAGAGTGTTATTCAAAAGAACAGTCACCTCGGATTGAAAGATCCTATGTTAACAAAATATGTCAAGATTAACATATATTAAAAAGTGTTCTGAACATTACATAGAACCAAACAGTATACTTGAAGAGATGGTAGTCAGGGGGCAGCATCTTCCAATGAACTCATTTCCCCACTAACCGAGGACACAAGCCTCCAATCTATTCACCCCATCCTTGTGTGTTGGCCTCCAAGATTATCCTTCTACTATTTGAACCTAGCCACACTTTCTCCCTGTCCTGCCTACATCTGTCCTTGAGGGTAACTGACTCTTATTGGCTAGCAATATGCAAGATTGTTGAATGTTGCTGTCCTGTACTCCACCATGTCAGCATATTAGTGGGGAGTTGTGTTACAACTTTGTTAAGAATGAAAGAGAGGAATAAAGACAAAGAGAATTTTATTTCACAGGGATCCTGAGATCAAACAATAACGTGATGTAATTGGGATAACAATGGAGATAGAGTCAGAAGGCCTGGTTCTGAATCCGAATGCTGCCTGCTATTTATCTGTGTGACCAAACCTCAGCTTTGTTATCTGTCAAGTGGGATTATTTTAAGAATCAAATTAGAGGAGGGGGGTATGATATGAACCCTCCCAGAAATGTATATCCCATACACCCATACATATATCTATATATATAAATATATACATATGATTTTACATGTTATATAGAGAGTCATGATTAGGGTATAAAGACAACTAGATTGCAGCCTCTGATCCCACCATTGATTTACTTTAAAACCTGGGGCCCTAAACTCACATCTCTAAGTCTGATCCTTTCCCCTAAACTACTGCTAGCTTATCACCTTTCCTATTTTAGACCTTAGTGGCTCTGACCGTATGCTGTGCCATTTGGATGTCAGCTGCCAAGCAGAGACAGGCAGGTAGTACAGATTCAGTACCACATCCAGTGTTCTACTAGGTCATTACTGGAGAGTTTGTGCCCTTGGTGGTTCTGGGATGGGGGCGGCAGGGCTCAGTGGTTTCACCATCTACTGAGCAAGTGCAAGGACCTGAGTTCAATCCCCGGTACCAAAAAAAAAAAATCTGTCTGAATATTTCATTTTACCCATTGCTATGACTTTATAGATAGTAGCTTTAATAGTCATTATCTCATTTAACCTTTTGAACAACACTATGAAACATACAGAATAATTCTTGCTTCCCTTTCATTTTAAAGAAACTGAGTCACCATGAATCACACAACTAGTAAGTGAAGAATCTATAAAGCACCTAGCATGCAGTTCTCCTGACTCCTAGTCCAAGACTGTGCTACTCCAGTAGTCTAGTTACATGTACTAATGATTACAGAGGGCTGATATATGGAATGAATTTCTGAATTTAAGTAAGAGGTCAGGAATTATAAGTAGACATATTAGGAGAAATCTGAATTTAAAATTCAGTGTGAATGCTTCAGATCAGAATGTCCCTTGAAGCTGAGCATGGTGGCACACACCTGTAATCCCAGCACTTGGGAAGCTGAGGCAGGAGGATTGCCTTGAGCTGAAGGCCAGCCTGGGCTACATAGTAAATTCAAGGCCACCCTGAACTATGTAGTGAGGCCCTGTCTCATAAAACAAACAAAAAAAATAACAACAAACCAGAACGTCCCTTGATCTTCCTAATCCTAGGCTACATCATCATGCGGCCTTCAAGATATAGTTAATGTGGGGTATGTAGGGGAAGGGGACTCTGAGGTCCCCTTGAAGAGATCATCTCTATTTTTAGCACCAAACAGGAAGCAGTCTATCGGTGATGCCATAAGACAGGTGCTGACTGTTTCTGCTTTGGGGCTAACTCGTTCCATATTAATGTTTAAACTTCATATCCAAATGAACCTCTTCTTTAGCCACTAAGTTTTTACCTGAAAGAATCTCAAGGTTCCTGTGAATTGAGAATCTTACTGCCTAGTCTGTGAAGAAACATAGTTTTTCTTCTTTTTCTACATATTCTTCACTTTGTTCATCTCTCTCTTGTGCTTTGATTTTGCCCTCATTAAATGCTATATCAAAAAAAAATTGGTACCTAACTGCATTAGCCAAACAGAATAGTTCTGAATGTACTCATGTAACATCTAGATGATAAGACTTTAAAAAAATATCTTCCCATACCTGTTGTCATCTCTGGATTCAGACTTTGACTAGTGTGAAAAGTCTTGAGAACCAAGCTGTCCACCTCCTGGCCCATCAAAATCCCTCACTTATAAGTGGAATCACCACACTGCATTGTGGACAGGAAGAGACCTGGTAAAAGGATCTTGGCCAATGGGCCATCTATCCATTGACAGCAAGCAGACTCAAGACATCTACATGTTTGAATTCTATACTGCTGACAGTACTTTGTACTTGTTTTTTTTTTTTAACTATGATCAACCACATGTAATTGCTACAAGTTTCTATTATCTGTACTTGTCTGGGATCATTCAAATTAGTTTCTTTTAAAAAATAAACCTCACTGTGGAAGTTCTATAGTTATTAACAGATGACTTTTTGGAGAATAAAATTTTGAAAGACACTTATGGGTCAAGAAATTTCTTCTATAATGTCCCTGCCAGCTTTCAGCTTCTGATTGATGGGATAGCTCAGCTCCTAAGTTGGCCCACTCTAGAACCAGATAGCTCTCCTTATATGAGGCAAAAGAATATTTTCTTTCAATTTCTACTCTTGTTTTAGAAAAATCAAGCAGTATAAATAAATATGCTCTTTACAACCATTTTTCAATATATCTCCCCTTAGAGTTCAAGTCCCCAAGCGTTACCTCCCCGATCCTTCAACCATCCCTCAAATAGCTTGGTTTATGGCTTGCTCCCTTTAAATTCCTGATTGCCTTGAATCCATCAAGTTCTAGGGTCTTATAGGATTAACTTTTCAATTTTTTACCTCAACCAAGCTTAGTTGAAAAGGTGTAAGGAGGAGTAGGAAATGTGAACATCTTATTTTGATTCACCTCACCACACAGTACAGTGACATTTTTACATCTTTGACAACTTCCTTGACATTATTTTAATTTATATTCTTTGAGTATTTGTGAGGTTGGAGTTTTTCATGTCTATTAGTATTATATTGCTTTTATAGATTTCTTGTGTTCTTTGCTTGTTTTTCTACTGGGGTGTTTGTCTGTTTTATTAATGATTTGTAATTTTACTTTAACAAAAGGCAATTTCTCCCCTTGCTATCTATCATGTGGATTGGACTATTTTCTCAAGTAATTTATTTGCTATCTTTTCATTTGCTTGATTTTTAGGCTATTATCTTGACATAAGAAAGTATCCCCATTTTATATAGATACATCTATTTATCTTTCAGTTTGTTGTTTCTTCCATTCCACTTTGATGTGTATGCATTAATATCCCTACAATCAGATAAATATGCATCTCTATTTTCTTGTTTCTTTTTGTTTCATTTTTTATATTCATTTCCTTATTCCATTTTGAATTTATCTGATGTATAGTAGGAGTTAAGGAACCTCAATAGTTGTGAAACTCAAGCTGAGAGTGTATGAGAAAAACTATTAACCCATGAAGGACTTCAGGTGTTCATTTTTAAATATCAGGGGGAAAGTATCCTTTTTTTTTTAAAAGCAGGCTTAGAACGAAGACCTCTTTTACCTTGGGAAAAGGCAGAGGCAGCCATGTCAGCTGCTGTCCTTTTGAAAGCCTATTCAGAATTCCTCAGGAGGAAGGGCTGCAGAAGCTGGGAGCACCAAATGGCAAGAAAGGTGCCTGGAACTGGGGAGATTTATGAGCTGACTGAGGGAACAGGAAAGTAGTACTTACTCTAAACACTGACATTGAAGTTTGTGTTTCAGTAAAGAAGGTCTGAAGTAGACACTATAAAAAGCAGGAATATAAAATATGTGACCGTATATATTTATAAAAATGCTTGACGTTCTGAAGGCAATCTGTAGAAAAAAAGAAAGAACCATAAATATGTAGAGAAATGATAATGCAAAATTGCTCATTAGGATGTAAAGGAGTTCAGATCCTTTAACCTTTGTGGTAATTTGGGGATGTTTTGTGGCTCACAAAATGGTAGTAACTATGATAGCATATATGATGTTGTCTAAATAAATATGTGCATATCTGAAAAATACAGTGAGGGTACTGAAGTGTTATTCTTCACCCCCTTATAATCTTTCTCTGCCTAAAAAAAAAACACTTAAACTATTCTCTCTATAGGGAGCTCTGTGACACAGCCCATGACTTGAGAGAAATCTAAAGGACTTTATAGAATGTGCCTATCAAAAAAAGATACATTTTCCTTTTCAGTACCCCAAATAAACTCAGAGTTTGTTATCAGTGCAAATGCTTCATCTGAGCAGGTTCTTATTCCTCCTGTGAAGTGCTGCCACGTACTGCCTGTTACACACTAAGGACCGTATTCATCTTATCAGTGTGCAAGTGGGGTAAGGGGCACATTAAATGAAGCACTTCTATTAAAATAGCAAAAATGCTCACTTCAGTCTAGTCAACAAAAAACTTGTCTTTGAAAACTTCATGTATTTATTTTGGGTTAAAAATGTGGCCTCCTGACATGGTACTCCAAAAGAGTATGAAAAACACTTTTTATTCAAGATAAATTCAAAATAAAGTAGTTAGAAAGTTGATTCCTTTCTATGAGCAGCTGCACACAACTCCACCCCTTCTCCCACCATTGCTGTTGAACTGTGGCTGCACTTTAAAATACCTGTGGGCTTTAAAATCCCAATGCCCAGATAGCACCCAGGACCAATTAAACCAGACTCTCTGGGCTGGGACCAAGGCACTAGTAATTCTTAAAGCTAGCAGGTAATTCAAATATGCAGGCAAGGTGGAGAAAAACTGGCCCTCTATAAACTTCTGGAACAAGATCCCGGATGATTTGCATCTTTGATCTCTCCCAGATTGTTATTCATTCAGAGGCACAAAGCCATTTTGCCAAAGTGTGAACATGCCATCTCTGGGAGTTTCCTGTGGCAGAGGGAAAAGCTGGGTGCTGGCTTCCCAATGGTTTTATTGCTTGTTTTGTTTTAACTTCCAGGTTAGTAATGTGCAGATCGCTATGAAAACTAGAGGATTAGAAAATGCTTTTATATTTTACAATAACTTGACATCTTAAACCAACATGTTTAGGAATGTGGTGTTTTGCTCTTATTTTCTAAGAGCTTTCCATTTGTTCTCAGCTCCAGAATATATTTTCTTCCAGCTCACTCGCAGCAGCTGGAAACTGCATAGCTGTCCATCTGGCCTGTAGTCACCCATCCTCTCTCCTACTCACTTGGGGACCCTGTTTGCAGGTAGGGATTTCCATTCTGTCATAAATGACTGAGCAGAAACACTGGTAAATGAGCCCTTTAGAATACAACTAATATGTTTCTGAACAGTTGATTCTAAACTGAGGGCAGGGAAGCAAAATATGAAGGCAGTTCTTGTGGACTGAGAAGTGGCCCTTGTCTTCTTTCTCCATACTTTCTAGAAGCTGTGGTTTGATGATTAACAAAAATAAGCCTCAAGGAACTTAAAAATTCTAATTCTGTTCATACCTGTAACAAGGCCTAGGCCCTGAATCAGTGTTTCTTTAGCTGCGAGACATCAGAAGGCCAGGGGAGGGTATGGCTCATTCCAGACAAGGGACCTGGAGCACAAAACTCTGGACCAAGTGCCAAACACCAGCAATGACTCTGCAAACTAACCCTTCCCTGCTTATCTTTGCAAGGATGATTCAAAGCTGCCTCACATTTTGTTCTTTGACATCTGTGGGCCCTGGAACAGAGCCTGTGCCAGATGAAACATCTTGTTTTTCACTTTGTAGGACATACCAGAGCACCTGATGTTATAGGGAACACTCTGTTCAAAAGCCAGTTAAACTAAGCTATTTATCTCCTTGCTTTAACTAATTGGAATAGGTATCCAAGGAACCATGATTGTAGAGTAATGGAACTAGTTTGGGGTAGCTTATGAATTATCACATAGGCTTGCATATGAAAAACTTATCTGTGTAATACACACACACACACACACACACACAATCTTCCCTTCTACCTGACTCTTCACCTTACCTGTAGACTGCCTGTAAGGAGCATGTGCCTCATCCCACAGTGCCTCTTCCTGCTCCACAGAAGTAAGGCTCGGGAAACCAGCCCCCTCCCCACAGTGAAGACACTGACTCTATGACAAAACAAACTATATGAAGCTATCTTCAGGAGACCGGGAACATGAGGGAAGGGAGAGATGGTTTCTGACTTGGGAATCTGGGAAGTTCTCAGCACCGAGGGCCATTGAGCAGGAGCTAGATGAACCATACTTTTAAGAAATCTTGTAGGGGAGGCTGTTGGAGGCAACAGGATAAGCTTATAAAAGGTTTGGAAGTACAAAAGTTCAAGGCTCATTTTGTCTTGGAGGTGGCAAATCATCTCATATGACTGGAATATAGAATGTTTTGTGGGATAAGGGGAAAAAAGCCACAAAGATACTATACCCTGAGGCCAAACTGCAGAGGGCCTTGGAATCCAGGCTAAATTTGATTTTCCTTCTATTTCTGTTTTTGTGTAATGTGTTTATTATGATGTGTTTGGCTACACTTTTGTATGTTTCAGTATTTTCTGTCTTAGAGGGTAAGGACTAAGTGATATAATTGAATTTGTACAACACAAAGAACAACGAGGATATGAGTAATCCCCTTTAAACACCACTGTGAATGTTAGTGATCAGGACACCGATTCTTTACAATGGGAAAGGGACATTGTTAACCACATACTAAAGTCTCTATGGTTTTTATAGCTGGTTCCGATTGTGTTCTGTGGTTTGAGTGTGATATGTCTATGACATGGAGCTTTGAAATGGTTGCAGAATCAGATTTTCTTCCCAAACGTTCCCCAGATGATTCCTTCATCTGTTGGGAGTTAACAATATCAGTATAAATCCAGGTTGTTAGCTAGGCTCTCATCTTCTCTGCCAAGTGTGCTAAGTTATTTTAAGCCATTAGAAGCACATGGTAGAATCCCACTGTAGTTTGGACCACTATTTCACATATTTCACAGCCTCGGATAGTACACAGATCAAATCATGACCCCCAAATCTAACTACATGCAGGAAAAGCCTATATCCCTAACAACTTGTGTATAAAATTCCCTAATTCTTCTTTTACAAAGGAGTCCTAGTGTTTCTTCTGGGAAGTGATTCAGAAGCTAAATCAAAACTCTTCATCATTGTAGTACACCCTTCAAAGACCAGATGGAAGAGCAAGTGATTTCATGAACCTCAAAATGTCTCAAAGGCAAAGAACTCAAGTAGGGTAAGAAGATGAGAAAGCTTACTTTGCTCTCCCTTACAATCTCTTCTCTTTAATAAGGTTAGAGGAAGATTAGAAAGCCCAACTGGCCACAGTGGATCTTCTAGACAAGTTAACGGAGTGGAACCCAAATAATTGAACTACTGTGCAGCCAAGAAGGCAGTAAGCCACATTAAGAAATAAAAACAAGTTAGTCTACCAGACAAAATGATTTAAGCACACAGGTAAAATAAAGCTGAGAGGGTCTCAAACTAACAGGAGGTGCAGCTAACATGCCCTTTGCTTCCAGCTGGACTATCAGGTTCCATGTAGGATCACACATCTAGAGGACAGGGGAAAGGGACAGCAGGCTTTTAAATAAATCCTACTAGATTTCAGGAAGCATGTGGAAGAAAAGCTTCAGGACCCACTTGAAAGGAAGTAACCCTCTTCCTCATCCTTGAGGAGGGGGTGTGCCCCAGAGAGAGTCAAAGTCTCATGACTTTGCCCCAGCTGGACATGTGTGACCAGGCAACAGTCCTGAGCAGCCCCCAGAGTGTGGGCGATCACTTACGGCAATTTCAAACGAAGTTCCTCTCTAAACTGCCACAGATGCACAGCCTCTTGCTGAGCAGGAGAGGGGAGCAAAGCCCTGCTGCCCTGAAACTTGGCTGGGCCCCAACCGGATTCTAACCTGCCCCTGACCTGAAGAAGGGCGGGGTAGCTACGTGTACCAGCTTCCTAACTCAGCGAGGGGCCTCAAGGAGGCAGCTTGGGGCCGCAAAGCACTAACAGGTGCGGCCAGTGGCAGCCCAGGAGAGCCTGGAGCGGAGCCACACAGACACAGACGCCACCGACCCCACACCTGCACAGGGTCTCCGCTCTGTGCCCTGCCTGGCAGCCAGCACCCCGGCAGGACCAGCAGCCCGACTTCACAAGGTTCCTCGGTGTTAGGCCCCATTCTAGGCCCCGTCAAATGCACCGCAATGAGGTTTTGGTTGGGGTTTGACTGATGCTGTGATTTGCTCTTCTGAGAGGCCAAACGCAGAGTACACCTCTTGGCCTTTCCCAGACTGGAATGAGAGCAGCGGAGATAAGAGGACGCTTTCTGGCTTTCTGGGAGCCGCCACGAAGTCTGGCTCGGCCAGCCTTGTAGTGTGGGATAAGAGTGACCTCTGGTGGTGCACAGGAAAGCGCACTGGAAATACAAAGGTGTGAGGGTGTTTGAGGAGCGCCCCTTGCAGGTAAATACACATACACGTTCAGATTTTTATTAATTTTGTGCCCTCTCACCTCTCCCCATCTCCCTGTCATCATTTAACCATCCAGAGCACACCAGAAGTGGCTGGTAATCTATTTAGACCTGCACATTTAATGCTGGCATCTGAACTGAAATTCAGTTTCTGACTTCTAGCCTTTTCCTTATAGGTTATAGTTCTTCTACTCACATGCTTATAACTAATGTGTTCTTTATTGGCTGCCTGCTGTGTGAATTGGTGGGCAGAAGACTGTCTTTCCTAGAGGAGAGCTCAAAAAGCAGTCACAATGTAGTTATGGGTGCTAAGGCCCCAAAAGTACTGGGTAACATGGCAACACTTAGTCCTGACCAGGAGGACAAGTAAAAGACACAAAAAGAAAGGTGAGATGCAGAGT